AGTGATCCAGCTGGGACAATATGGTCCGCCATATGTACCGGGTGGATCCCCTTTTTCTACACCAGGCCTTTTCGGGGGTCATGGGCAACAGCCGTTCCAACCCATGGATTGGCAGCTGCGCCTGCTTAATTTGGGGGAACAGCCTACGGCGTTCTCGCCAGACATAACCCAGGCGGCACAGCCGCCCAAGGTAAAAAATGTGTTGGTAGGTGCCTATGATGGTACCTCTAACCCGGAAGACCACCTAATGGCATACTCCAACCTCATGTATCAACAGGGGTTGGATGACGCCGCCTGGTGTCGATGCTTCCCGGCGACCCTGAAGGGCATTGCCCAACGGTGGTTTGGTAACTTACCAGCCGGCTGCATAAACAACTTCAGAACTTTGTCGTACTTGTTTACGTCAAACTTCTCAATGAACATCCCTGCCAAAAATACCAGCCTTAATCTTGGGGCAATACAGCAGGGTGACAAGGAAGGACTACGGTCCTATGTCAGGTGGTTCAATCTGATGAGAATTCAGATTCAAGGGCTGTCTGACGAAGTTGCTTAGACAGACTTCTTCAAGGGTCTGAAGGATGGGTCGACCTTCAAGTTCGACCTCGGCCGGAAAAGGGTAGCCACCCTCCAAGAGGCATTAATGGAAGCAGAAGCCTATATACAGGCGACGGAGCTTTGTGTTGTAAAGCAACAGTCAGATTTAAAAAAATCTGACAGAAAAGATAACCGGCCACAACAGCCGATAAAAAAGGAAGACAAGAGAAAAGGAATCTAGGCGGCAGACCGGTCTGGTCAGCCGGCCCAGAAGGCAAGAAGAAAATCTAAATCGTACGTCCCCAAGTACGAGTTCACAAAGGACTGCTCCGTTCTCATGGAAATCAAGGACCGGTTGTTCCTCCAGAAACCGGCCGCCATGAAAAGTCCCACCAGCAGCCGGGATAAGAGCAAGTACTGCCAATACCATGAGGATGTTGGCCATGACACTAATGGCGGCTACAGCCTCAGGCGGCTGTTAGATCGTCTGGCTGATGAGGGAGCTCTAAAATCCTACTTGCCAAAGCCCAAAGGCAACCCCAAAACAAACAAGGGGCAGGCGGCAAAACCCGGCCCTGATTACTCTGAAACGAATGACGAGATAGTCTTCACCATAGGAGGCGGTTTGGCCAACGGAGGCCCAACCATCCGGGGTACCAAAGACAACATCAGGAAGCTGGTCAACTCTGTGGATGAGGGCCAGGCGTCGAGAGACACCTTTCCTGAGGTCCTCATTTCTGAAAAGGACCGGGGTAAGGTCAAACCGCCCCACGATGACCCCATTGTCATCGAATGTAAGGTTGCCAACCAGAGAGTTGGCCGGATCTTAATAGATACCGGGAGCTCGTCTGACCTAATCAACTATCAGTGCTTGACAAGGCTCAAGTACAAGCCCAAAAGCATGAATCAGGCGCCTCACCCCTTAGTCGGCTTTGGGGGAGGAGTGGTTCATCCGGTGGGAAGCATTGACCTTCCTATCCGGCTGGGTGAAAAGGGGCAAGGACGCCATATGGTTATAAAATTTTTGGTTGTGGAAGAACTGACTGCCTACAACATGATATTCGGCTGTCCGACCCTCAACGAATCCAAGGCTGTGATCATCCCATCTCTTATGCTTGTCAAATTTGAGAAGAATGATGGTACAGTCGGTTCCCTAAACGGGGACCAGAAGACGGCTAGGGGGTGCTACCTCTCTAACGTCAAACCAACTATGGGTACAGCCGGTCATGGCGAGCCCATAGATGTTGATTACAGTGATCCCGCAGTCTCGGCTCCAAGGGCAGCCAGTAAGAAAAGAATGGCGGACCAACTAGCACCCGTCAAAAAAGAAAAACAATAGCAATCACTTGCCGGAGAAAGGTCGGATGATTTTAGACCCCAACCGGCAGGAGAGAGCGTTGATGTTGTCCTGGACGACAGTCGGCTTGACAGAACCGTCAAGGTTGGGACGGTTGCTTATGAAGTGTTGGGGGCAGACCTGCTCCAATTGCTGAAAGAGTTCAAAGACATATTTGCCTTTGAAGTGGAAGAGATGCCAGGCGTAAGCCCGGATCTAGTTGTCCACAAACTCGTCGTGGATCCAAAAAAGAAGCCCGTTAGGCAGAAAAAGAGAAATCATGGCGAGGAGAGATCTTAGGCGGCAGCCGCTGAGGTCAGGAAGCTGTTAGATGCTGGGTTCATCCGGCCATGCTAGTACCCGGATTGGGTAGCAAACGTTGTCTTGGTTAAAAAGCCAAATGGCACCTGGCGGATGTTTGTAGAATACACAGATCTGAATAGAGCATGTCCAAAGGATAGTTACCCGCTCCCACAGATCGACAGCCTGGTCGACTCTACAGCCGGTCATGCTCTGATGAGCTTCATGGACGCCTACTCAGGCTTCCATCAGATACCCCTCTGGAAAAAAGATCAAGAAAAGACGGCATTCGTCACTAATCAGGGGTTATTCTGTTACAAAGTGATGCCGTTTGGGTTGAAGAATGCGCCTGCTACATTTCAGCGAATGATAAACACAGTTTTCCGCCATCAGATAGGCAGGAATGTAGAGGCGTATATCGATGACATGATAGTTACATCCAAGCTATAGACGGATCACCTAGCTGACCTCCGAGAAACGTTCACCACACTCAAGCGGCAGAAGGTCATGCTTAATCCTAAGAAGTGTGTCTTTGGTGTTAAGTCTGGGAAGTTTCTCGGATTTCTGATTGACCAAAGGGGGATTGATGCTAATCCGGAAAAGGTACAAGCGGTAATTGACATGTAGTCACCTCGCACTGTAAGAGAAGTCCAAAAACTCACCGGTTGCCTGGCGGCATTGGGGAGGTTCCTCAGCCGGTCTGGCGATAAATGCCTCTATTTCTTCCAAGCAATTAGGAAGAGGTCAAGGTTTGAATGGGGAGAAGAGGCTGAGGCGGCATTTCAGAAGCTTAAGCAGCATTTGCATTCTTTACCAAGGCTAGTGAGCCCCCTGCCCTAGGAGGTTCTCTACATGTACCTAGCTGTCTCATATCACTCCCTTAGTGCTGTTCTCCTTGCTGAGAGAGACGACAATCAACTCCCGGTGTATTTCATCAGTCATGGGTTGGCCTTCTACAAAGCAGTCAAGCGGTTAAAGCCCTACTTCCTGGCTCATCCGGTAACTGTATACACTGATCAGCCACTCAAACGCCCAATGACCACCATAGAGTCATTCGGTAGAATGATCAAATGGGCTGTTGAAATACAAAGCCAGGAGATAACTTTCGAACCCAGGGGGGCAGTGAAAGGTCAGGCGTTTGTCGACTTCATTGTTGAGATGACTAGGCCGGTGCAACCGGAAAACTCTGATCAAGTTTGGAAGTTGTTTGAAGACGGTAGTTCTACAGCGAACGGCTGTGGTGCAGGCGTTATTTGCCATTCTCCGGAAGGGTATTAGTTTGAATATGCACTACGGTTTAAGTTCCAAGCCTCAAATAACGAGGCAGAGTATGAAGCCCTGCTAGTTGGCATACGTTTGTGTAAGGCGGCTGGAGCAAGGAAAGTTGACGCCTGCTCAGACTCTCAATTGATCGTTAGCCAATACCACGGTGACTATGAAGTCACCCATCCGTCTATGATCAAATATCTGCAAGCGGTCAGGGAAGAGGTCGCGGCACTTGATGAATTCCATTTGAGTCAAGTGCCACGGTCTGAAAACAATCAGGCGGATGCGCTCTCCAAATTGGCATCATCCGCCTCCTGTGATGCGCCTAGGACAATCTTTTAGGAAGTCATGGAAAAAGAAGCATTGAGCATGATCCCATTGGAAATCTGGACCGAAGCGCCACCTGGATGGACCCCATCCGGGCTTATCTGACAAACGGCTCTTTGCCGGATGTCCCTTCAGAAGCGGCTGCACTCAAGAAAAGAGCTCTAAGCTTTGTTATGCACCAAGGAGAACTTCTCCGAAAAGGGTACTTACAGCCATTTCTGAAGTGTGTGACCCCGGAAAGGGGAACAGAAGTCTTGGAAGATCTGCACGCGGGTTTTTGTGCCTCACATATAGGCGGCAGATCCCTGGCTAAAAGAGTCAGGCGGCAAGGATATTTTTGGCCCACTCTTGAGGCAGACGCCCTGGATCTGGTGAAGAGGTGTGACAAGTGCCAACAATTTGGCCAGTTGATACATCTTTCGGCAACATTCCTTACAGCTATACACAGTTCGGTCCCGTTTGCAAAATGGGGCATGGATATCTTGGGACCTTACACGCCTGCATCAGGCGGTCGACGCTACATCTTGGTAGCTGTAGAATACTTCACCAAATGGGTTGAAGCAAAGGCGATCAAAGGCATAAAGACCAAGGATGTGATCTCCTTCATTTGGAAAAACATCATCACCCGGTTTGGGGTTCCTATGACTATGCTCTTCGACAATGGTCCTCAATTCGAAACGCCTGTGCTCAGGGGATTAGGGAATCTCCCATTGCTTTGCGTCTGTAGGCAGACCCCAGGCAAACGGATGAGTTGAGGCCTTCAATAAGATTATCTCAGACGGCATTAAGAAAAAAGTTGAAAAGGCTGGTGGCCTATGGGCAGAGGAGTTGCCTCATGTTCTTTGGGCTATCAGAACAACTAAGAAAGGGGCAACCGGTGAAACCCCGTTTCTCATGACATATGGCACTGAGGCTGTTCTCCCTATCAAGCACCACTAGGCGAAAAAACGAATTCCCCAACGGTTCAAACCCCCCTTTCCCACCGGTTTTGAACCGAGTTGTATTTGGGGGGTGCTAAAACCCCATAGATTTCGCACCGGTTCAAAACCGGTGGGAAAAAGGACTTTTCGCACCGGTTCTTAGGGAAAAACGGTGGCAAAAACTGAACTTTTCGCACCGGTTTTTACTTAGAACCGGTGCCAAAAGTCCCCAAAAAAATTAAAAAAAAAAGAATTTTAGCACCGGTTCTTTTCCAAAACCGGTACCAAAAATGCCCAAAATAAATAATTTTTTTTTTTTTTTTTTTTTTTTTTGCATTTTTTTCACTTAAATTGATATATAAACACTAACCTATATATAAAGTTACAGAAATTTACTTCTAATACTCCAAAAACCTGTAAACAGCCCAAACTAAGCAGCTCTACATGCTACAAAAATAACAAAACACAGCGCAACACCAAAGAAGCAGAGCAAGCACATCAACTCAGCATCACAGCACCCCAGACCAGCAACACAACACTGCAAAAGGAAGTAGACAGCAACACCAACACGGCAGCGCATCACATCAACACAGGAAAACTCGACATCACGGCACAGCAGACACAGCACTGTAGCAGCTCAACGCAACAACATCTAAGCAGACACAGCCTGACAGCTAACATCAACAGAATAGAAACAACTACACAGGAGCATTGATCTTGAGCTGATACAACCATTTGCAATGATCCCTCTTCCACGAATTATCCATGGTGCTCCTATCCCTACAATGGCATAACTTGTCTACATGAAAGAAACAAAAAAATTAGCTAACAAATCATATCCCTTATGATTAGGAAATTTGTAAACATATTCATTCTGAAACAACAAAATTAAATTGTTTATTGGTTCATCCAAAAATGGCCTCTCAAATAGTCTTTGATTAGTAGGGGTAATGCAATTTTCTGATTCTTTTCAATCTCCTTGATCACTACTATATATGTATAATCTGCTTTCTTTCCTTCTCTACTATAATTTATTCTCAAATTACTCCCCAAGCTACCTCATAACAGAATTCTATTGTCATTTTCTATAATGCTTCACCCCTGGGTTAGTCTATTACATTATGCTAAATAATACCTTAATCAATTTATGTTTTTAAACGAAGAAATTCTAATATACATCTCCTGGAGCTAACTACTCACGCAAACAAAAATCATAAAATACTTCTATCACAAATAAACGCAGCTTTATAGAAGTTGGCTAACAAATGGGAGCCAAAGGAGGGAGGGATTTAAAAATAATAACCAATTAATAGAAAGAAACAAAAAATTAAAGAGGAAAAATGAATTAAAGGATTAAAGCTAAGGGAAGACAACTACAAAGCAGTGAAATTTAAACACTGTCACAAGCACTAAACTAATTGCAGTTTCAACAAGTCACACAACTACAGTGTCTTCCAATCAGAATGGCAACAAAAAAATCAGAAATTGAAGGATACAATTGAAAAAAGATTGAAGTACAAGAAAAAAAGAAAAAAAAAATCTCGTAATAGAAAATTATACAACAATAAAATCACTGAAAGTTAAAGCAATACATGTTACATTACTAAAATGACTGTAAGAGACTCTCTGCACTTATGAAGTAATGTATGCTTAAAGGGTGTGTATCACAACTGATAGAATAGTACCTTGTCTGCAGATCCGGTTATGCTGAACTTTCATCCTGTGGAACAATCTTAATGCTGGTAACCTGCAAAAAAAGCAATGAAGTGTAAATAGTTTAACATTTACTAGTCCATATGGCTTTTGCATTGCAAAACCACGCATAAGAAAGACCTTTGAATGACCACTTAGTGTAGATACAATCTGTCCAGAAGGTCGATCAAAGACAACAACATTTGTATCAGCCCCTCCGGTCGCAATGATATCCTATAAAAGCATGGATATATAAAAGCATGGTTTGAACAACGGATCCAGTCTTGTCCTTGTAGAATTACAGACATGTTGTTACTTGTTAGATCAATCAACAATAACAACTACTACATCCATTCGTTTATGTTACGGAGTTTTTACTATGTTTCACATTCGATTGTTTCCTTTTTACACTTGTTCCCCTTATTAGATAACAAAACAAATAACCCATCAACAAAGATTAAATCATTTGAAGTAATTACTATATATTGAAGGAGTAAACCAATAACAAGAAGTAGAACCTGAACCCCAATGATAGTCGGCTATATGAACCAAAATTTTATCAAGGAGGCGTGATGATAGAATATAAACAGAGTAAATCGAGTAGAAAAAAAATTATACCTGAGAGAATCCATGTGAAGCAGAAAACAGCAATTGAAGCAGGTATTTTTGAAGCAGGTATTGAAGCAGAAAACGCATTAAAATCTTTTGGAAAATTAGGAAGATGAACCTCCATTCTTCTTTCTGTTCTTCCCCAAATGATCTTAAATAATTAAAAGAAAGAGAAGTTTGACTTGAGATTTGTATGACAGTACATACAAGTTTTAGATTAATATATATACAATCATGAATCATGGACAAGTATTGTAAGAATTAAAAGCAAGATTATATACAGTAATATAGTTACAAAATAAATGCATGTAGTTAATTGGTCGCTGTCACACTCTAAGTTCAAGGCCGCTTTAAACTTATCAGGGTGCTCAGTCTCTACAAGTTGTGTTGTTGTTGAGTGGTAAAGATTTTGATACAATTAAGAGTGCGAATGCACGACAACCGAGGCTTTTGAGGATGTGGACTTGAGATTATCGAAATGGAAAGCAAGCACATCTCACTTAGACATGCTCTTTGCTAGTTCCTAATATATTGACTCTAAGTGAATCGTATTCCTTTCTATTATTTTGGAAATTTATAATGGTAATCTCACGGTCCGGGAAAGCTGAAGTGTTGACTGATCCTCATAGACCCTATGGAAGCAACAAGGCATCACTTCAGGAAATTAGAAGAATCAATGAAGCAGGTGGATTGGTGTGTCTTCCTGTTCTTAATATTTAATTCTGTTATATTTCTGGTATACACAAAGGCAACTGCAAACAGGCCAGGAAAACAGAACTAAAGTATGGCAGATAACACCTAGGAATGCTGATAACGAGACATGTTCTGATTTCATGACCCCACAGAAAAGACTTCTAAATTCGATTGAAAAGGTTAGGGAAGTTTGGCTGGAGGATTGAAAGAAACTAGAGAAGACTCCTGCTGCCAAGAGGCAGAAAGAAACTAGAGAAGACTCTTGCGTACATTGATGTCAATGAGATGACCCGTGGAGTATGCCTAGATGGGAAGGGAGTTTTGTGCACTTACAAGTTCTGATGATCCCATATCCTAAGTCGATCATCTTCCAATGATTCCATAGCCTAATACTACTACTACTATTCTTCAGCTATGCTTGTGCTATCGCTCACATCAACTAGTTTAGCTATACTTGCAGCTATCTTTCATTGCATGTAATTAACCAGCTTGTAATGGACCTTGATTATTGGCTTTAATTAATAAAATCATCCAAATTTTTTTTATTTGTTTTGTGTTTCTTTTGTTTCTGTTTTATCCTATTTTTAAGCTGAGGAAGCACAACCAAAAGAAAAAAAAAAAGAGTATTTGCAGCGCGCCTAGGTAGACTGTGCTGCAAATAGTTGGATTATTTGCAGCACTCCTAGGTAGAGTGCGCTGTGAATAGTCCTATTATTTTGCAAATAATTTTGAAGTTGTATAACCTCACCAGTCACCAGTCTCACCACCCCGGTTTTAACCGCGAGAAATTTTGAAGTCGAGCTAATCCTTAGCTTCCTACTAGTAGATTTTTACCATGCTCCTCATCAGCCTCATATATGTGGGAATTCTCTGTATGCAAGCGAAGGAAAAGATGTACTCCGTATGACAGTAACTACAGGAGTATTACTTGATACACAAAATTAACTGTCAACTCTACATGAGGCAAGAAAGTAATAGAAGAAATCGAAAACTTGCTGTAATGCACGGAAACAGATAACACATTTTCTTAAGATTAAAATTCAGTTTAGGGCCAAGGAGAACACATTATCAATGCAGATCAAACTCCGTTAAAACAACAATGCTTTGCAGAACATCCGAACATATATAGTCTAAACCTAGTCCGCCTATCTAAAGGTAAACCATCATCTTACCTCGAAGCTGGTTTAATGGAGGTGAGAAAGCTCAGAATCGGTGGAGGTGTAGCCGTGACAAGGAGGTCGTTAGGGTGGAGGTGTAGCCGTGCGCGCTTCAATGACAAACCCTATATTACCACAACCCTAAAATTACTAAATTGAACAGAAAATCAACGACAAACCCTAGATTGCGAAAGAAAATCAATGAATTTGCACAACCACAAGAAAAATCTTACCTCGAAGTGAGTTCAATGGAGGCTAGAGCTAGTTCAATGGAGGTGCTGCTTCAATGGAGTGAGAAAGCGAGTAAACCAATTCAATGGAGAGAGAGCGAGCTGCTTCAATGGAGTGCAGAAGGAGATGCGAAAACGAGAGGGAGATGCGAAAACGGAGAGGGAAAGCCGGGAGGAAGAGCAGGAGATGCGAAAATGGGAGGGAAAGAGAAGAGCAGAACGAAGAGGGAAAGTAGGGGGAAAAAGAAAGAAGAAGAACCGGTGCGAAAAGTCATTTAGCTTATCCCGCCCATTTCTTTTGCCATCGGTTTTCAAGAACCGGTGCGAAAGGTGCGGTGCCTAATTCATTTTTTCTACTAGTGCACTATGAGCCAACTCTCCGCATCATGGTGTATGATGAGGAGGCCAATTGGGAGGCCATGCGTCTTGCCTTGGATGCTCTTCCAGAACGAAGGGGCAACGCCGCCTTACGACATGAGGTCTACCGTCTAAGAATGACCAGAGCCTACAACAAACGGGTACACAAGCGGCCCTTAAAAGTAGCGGATTTTGTACTCCGCAAAATGGAGGCAATCGGTAGGGCAAATGAGCAGGGCAAGCTAACCCCAAACTAGGAGGGCCCCTACCGAATTTTTGAAGAGGCTAGAGATGGCACATACCGCCTGGAAACCCCAGACGGTAGGAGGTTGCCTAGGACTTGGAATGTAGACAACTTAAAGAAGTGCTACTTCTGAGAATTGTAAATTGTAAATCTTTTGTAATTACTGTATGATTAATGGGAAAATGTGGTTTATTACATTTCTATATACCTACGCTAGGTCTTGTGCTCACCGCAAGCGACTTCCATCACATAACTCCCATGCGCCATGTCTTGTGCTTAACACAAGCGGCCTTCATCATTCAATTCCCATACGCAATGTCTTGTGCACTACACAAGCGGCACATTTATCACCAAAAACATCCGGTGACGCCCATACGGGTGAATTCACCGAAGAGAACATCTCCCTTCCGGGTGGTAAATTGTTCTAGTGATCATAACTCAGGCGGTTTTAATAAATGAAAATTAAGTCATTTATTTCCACTTGAATGATCCATCGCATCAAAGAATAGATGACTAGCACTCCCAAAAGTACATCCGGTTTATTCTTTGAAAAGCAGTACCAACAGAAGCTAGCCCTAAAAAAGGCAGCCGGTACTCTCAGTACATCTAGACCACCGCCTGCTTCTGAAGAGGCAGGCGCAGATTTAACATTTTACGCACAAGAAAATTTTATGAACAAGCATCACACACGGTTTGCTATCGATGTTAGCAAGGCCCTAAGCTTTGGGCTCCTAACGATAAAACGCAGCCGGAAACCAGGCAAAACAAGATATAAACGGTACCTAAAACCGTGTTTTCACCTGGGTTGTACGTGTTTAAATATTAATGGTCCCTGACCGGGGGCATACGGATAGCCGCCTGGCTGAGTGCAGCTCTACCAGTCACCTATCCGGGGGCAATATTCCTAACCCCACCCCGTCTCTGGTTCACACGACAATAGTACTTAAAGAAATTTGTAAGCAAAATTTAAAGAAGTGCAAATAAGGAGAAATCATTCAACGAAACCGGCACAGCCGGTGAGAAAATATATATATATATTAATATTCAAAATATAATACAACGGCAGAGTAAGCCGACTCATCCGGCGCGATTACAAGATAATGCACGGCACGCAGGGCGGGAGGTCGTTGCTATTCTATCTACACGGTCACCCGGGCATTCGGAGCCTGAGTCCCTTCCGGGTGTGACGGTTCAACGGTGGGGACGGAGCTAGGAGCAACTTCATCTTGAGTAGCCTCCTCGTTAGCAGCCGCTTCCTCCTCCATCCTTTTGAACTCCGCCTCAACGCACTTCTCATAGGGTTCAGGCCTCGGCTGACCCTCCTCTTCAGCCAAAATGGCAAGATCTGCATATTTGTAGGTGACTCCCAAACGTTGTAGTTTGTACCCGGATGGATAATGGAGAACACCCTCTTCATTCTGTTCTCGCAGTCTTGCTCATTCTCCTCAATGAGCCGGCTCTGTTTTTCTTCAAGGGTGGCCTTGAAGTTGCCCTTTGCAGCAGCCGCCTCTTTGATCAGGCGGTCATTCTCTTGTTGTAGGCGAGTGCTGGCCTTCTCCGCCTGATCCAACCGTTTGAGGGGCTCCTCATGTTCCTTGAGCTCCTTCTCGGCATTGTCAAGCGCCACCTTGAGACTGTCCAATTTGACCTTGGACTCATTGAGGGCCTTCTGGAGGGTCTTAACCTGGTCCGCATGTCGCATGATTATAGATTTAGTTTCTAAGTCATGCACAATCATTGAATATTCAGCAACATTATGTGCGTCATCCGCAAAACGTTTGGCTCTCCTTACCTCCTCCTGTTTGCATATGTAGGCCTTTTTGAGCCCTTCCACGCGCAGCAGTTCCTGCAACAATACAACCGGCGTCAGTAGAAAAACTAGATGTGCATACATCAAATAAAATGTCGGGTGGGTACTTCAAGCTTACATCAGCTAGCTCGACCATTACACGGTCGGCGTTGAAGGTGTTGATCCCAAGGATCACCTCCTTCTCGTCCCGGGGGATAGCTTTCAGCATAGCTCGGACATACTGAGTTGCATCCGGCCAGCAGGGGGAATTATATACACCAGAAACAGATGGCGAGAAAGCTGCATATGCTCCGCCTATGGATTGCCGGCTGATCGGAGAATCTCCTGGCTGAGACTGAGAATAAGACTTAACCCGCATGAGCAGGTCAAGCAGTGTGAGGTTGAAAGGATTTGTACCTTATTGTTGGAGACCTCTCTGGCCTCCGTCACTAGATGGACCGGTTGTGGTCCTTATTGGTGTGACCTCTTTTGAGGCCACAGCTTCAGCAGTTTACCCGCCTGGGGTCTTTATTGATTTACCGCCGATAGAGTGCCGGACGGTGGGTGTGGTTCTCTACACCTTAGATGCAGGCTCCACTACAATCGGCCTCGGCCGAATCTGCTTCTATAGGGAGTGGGGAGTTTTGCTCCCATCCTGAAACGAAGCAACAAAGGGTCAGACGGAAAAAATGAGCAAAAAACAGGAGTAAAGCAAATAAGTCAAAGATAAGTCAGACGGTCTAACCTTCTTAGCCGCCTGAGCAGCAAGTTTTTTGTCCAGATTCTCCTTACGGATGTCTTAAGCCTACCTAGCAGGCGTTTTTTCTGTTGGCAGCATGTCCTTTGCTTCTTCTGCAAAACACAAATCAAATACGTCCTGTGAAGGTTAGAGCAATAACAGACAGGCATTGTAAATCAAATGAAAATGGTCAGCCGGTGTAATATAGCCGGCTGAGGCTCTTAACCTACGTTTTTCGAACATGCTGCTAAGTCTACAAGCGGACAAAAATTCTTCGTCCCTTAGAAACTCCTGTTTGGGCACCCAGTTTTTGGGCACCCTTATTGTCTCTCCGGTTGAGAGGGTGGAAGGGACAAGCTCAAAAAAACTGGAGTCCAATGTTGCTTCTCTATCCTCCTCCGGCACTGGGGGCATCCGACATTTCTGCCCCAAAAGTTCAGGTTTCCGGTTGTATGTCCGGAACTCTCTGTTTTGATCTTCGGTTGGAGCCTTGACCAGATAGAAGCGATTCTTCCAGTCCGACCACTTAGACGGTTTGTTAAGGGTCATGAGGTACTGGGGGTAAGTGGTTAGGGTATACCAGGCTCTCCAGCCGCCTGGGCTCCTACTCAGGTAGTGCATATGGGCAAACGCTTCCCAGCCCGGGTTCAGATCCTGCATTTCACAGGCGGCAATGTACCCAAGAATATTCACCAAGGAGTTGGGGGTGAGTTGCTAGACGCCCAGGCCATACCCCATGAGTATGGCCTTTATTGTGTCATGAAGAGGGAAGCGGAGCCCCGCCAAGAATGTCGCCTCGTAGCAGCCGAACCAGCCGTTTGCGTTACGCTGGTCATCCTCCCAAGCAATGGTCCCCTTATCAGGAGGGACTGCCAGTCTATATCCAGCCCCAAGGGGCCGTTTGAGGACGAAATCTGACAAGTTATTCCGCATCATGGCCCTATCCTTGGTAGAGACGGTGATCATCAAAGGATCACCCTTATTTTGCCAAGAGGGTCTCTCCTCCTCCTCACCATCGACGGATGGTGTTAGATAGCTAGAGCTGCTCTCCACAGGTCCGAGTGCAGAGCCGGAAGCAGAGGAGGAGGCCTCCTGGGATGAGTTTTTCCGCTCCCCATCGGAAACAGAGGCAACTTCCTTACCGCCTCCCTGATCAGAGCCTAGAATGCCATCACCTGGCGTACTAGGGGTACCTCCGGGAGACCTCATGGCCGCCTCAATAGGGGCCCTCTCATCAGGCGGTAACTCGTCAGATCCCCCGCCTCTGTAATTGGGATCAACAACCGTCTTCCTGGTTCTGGCCATTGTGTCCTGCACAGACACGGAGACGGTCGGATTGGGAGATAAACAAGGCAAATCCCAGAGTCTATAGGCGGTATTTCCAGTCCTAGACTCAGCCGTACTAACAGACCGGCTGGTCTCATTGTTATGTTCCGGATGGGGGTATAAAGGGTCCATCTAACTATGGGACAAATAAGTGAGAAAATAAACAAAAGACTCAAGCGTAAATACATGGAAGAGCTTGAAAGAATACAGGCGGTACCTAAAAGAAAGAAGGAGAAAACCGCTTGGTCGCTGAGATTTTCTTGGGTTTTGTTGCGAGACACAGGCGTCTCTTGAGCCAACTGTGTTGTTTGAAATGCAGATGCAAATTCAGCTTGCTATCAAACCCCCCAGATGATTATAAACCGGCTGCTCTCGAAAATCAGAAAATTCTCAAAGTTTGTAAATGAGGACTTGGGGAGGGGACTTGGCTATTTATAGGCTCTTCCTCAGAAGGCGGAGAGTCCTGACTCTTCACCTTTTGCTTCTCCCGCCTTTTCACCCAAACAGCTAGAATCCAAAAAAAAAAAAAGAAGAGAGGGGATCTTCACAGGTCCCACGTGGCACAGCCACGTCAGCACCCGTGAGGGGCAAATGTTTAGGGTAAAACTACCCTAGACACGTGGCCCAACGGGCTGGTGACACGTGGCGTATCGCCATTGGTCAACAGGGCTCCAATCCCCTGTTGACACGTGTCCTTGGAACCCTTCATGGGGGACTAGACTGACCCACTATAAATAGTGGGACAAACCTCATTAATGGGATATACACCAATACAAACACCATTACCAAGCAATATTAATTGCGGAATTCTC